CACACAACAGCGTGTTTGTGTTTTTCAGTCGTTCCGGCTGAGCTCGGGAAGGGGTCAAACATTGCCATCCCCTCGGAGCCACTGACAGCGTGTGTCTCCGAGGAGATTGACACTGGCGGAGACAGTTTTGAGAATATAATAACAATAATAACATACTCTACCTTTCTAATGGGTAAATTGAGCTGTTGAAAGGTGCTGGGGTTAATGAACGCAGAGAGGCGTAATTGCCCCCAGCTTTTGTCTTCCACCTCTCGTGAAGTGTGTCCGTGTGCGTCGAAAGAGAGAGAAAAACTGAAGAATTCTGAGGCGTTCTCACTTTAGTGAGGAAAACACCGTTAGCACTTAGTCTGCCGTTATTATCTGTACTCAAAGTGATGGGCCCACAGCGCTTAAGTGTTGTTAACTAAACTGTTGCTGAGTCATTAAGGTACATGAGTTTAGATGTCCACCGCCTTTGAACTAACACCTACTCGCTACAGTTGATAGCCTAAATGAGGTTTATTATACTAAAGTACCATCATTGACTGCGATTAGAGCCGCGGTGCCGTCCGTCTGTCTGTCTTTCCTGGTCTGAGTAAGACTGTATTTCCAGCTCTGGCGGCTTGTCAGAAGCTCTTCACTGACTCATGAGTGAAGCCTCCAGGGAAAGGGGAGACAGGAACTCTGTATCCTGCTTGTTGTGCTCTTGCTGATGTGCATTTTCCAGCCCCTACCTGAACACATGCACGCACACACAAACACACTGCCACGCGGTGCAATCATTTAATGTTCTGTCAAGGGCCGAATTTGTTTCTTGAGTTGAAGTGTGCAGATAAATGGCCCGCTGAAGCACAGGATGATGCAGAGATGACAGACATTGTGTAATATGAATATTTAGTAAGTAAAATTCAGCATATAATGGTAGCTGTTTTGGAAGATGGTTTATAGTTGGTTTAAGCTGCACTGCATCAGTACTTTTTTCAGTTTGTTATATTGCGCATCATTTTGTATATTATATTTTATTGAAGAAAATGTATACAATAATAAATAATAAAATGTCTAAGCCTACTTAAATATCTACTTTATATACATACATTTAATTATATATACTTATGCATTGTTAAAATACACATGTATTTGCCATTGGGGTAGAAAAAAAACTGCAAAACAGTACATTTTAGATGTTTTATATGTTTTCTTCAGTAAAAATATATACATATTTATATGTTGTAATTTATATAATACATGCAAAAGAAATGCAAGATATATAATATAGGTAAATGTAAGCTATAATTTTCCAGTAGGGTTAAAAACAAATAAACAACTTAGAAATAAGTTTAGTTTTAGTTTAAAATAAAAATAAATAATTAAAACAAAACCAGTTGGGTAAAAAAAATAAGTCTTAATGTCTTGTTTTATAAGTTTTCACAATGTTTAGATATTTTACTGTAAAATGAGGCTAATAAAGAAAAACTATTGATAAATGTATAGATTTTTTGCAGTGTGGTCTCTAGCTGGTGGACAAGCTACCATATTCCAAAAAACAGCTTGAACACTGGTTTGAACACTGGTAGGTGATTTGTTGCTGGTCCAGGATGGTCTACCAGGTCTACCGTGTTCCAATCTTAAACTGGATTTTTCAGCAGGGAGTGCAACAGAAGAGTAAATCTGAAAAACAAAGAGATGGCACTGGCTGGTTTTGAGTTCTAAGATTCTAACGAGTTTGCCTGATTTGTTCTCTTCCTTCCCCGTCTCCTTTCCCACTGACACACACTCACACGGCACCGCTCAGGCGAGAACAGCCAAAACACACACTCCTCTCTCAAACACAAACATTGGCTGATATTCTCTTCAGCTCTAATATACTTAAAACACATGAACACACATGCACAACACCCTCAGGAAAAGGGCCGGTCTCTGGGCTGAGCATTGTTCGCTCCCAAGCTAAACATTAAATAGATTATTAACCTTTAATCTTTGCACCTCTGTTTAAACCCACAGAACAGGCAGTGCAGACTCAACCACCCCCTTTCTGTGTCTCTCTTCCTCTCGCTCACATTAAAACAGGGGGCATTAATCATATCACAGCACTTCTATGTTAAACAGCCATGTGAAACTTCCTGCCACATTGTTTTATTTTTTGCATCTCATTGATTTAGGTATACGTTTAAATTCAGCCCTCATTTGGCAGGATCTTCCTGTATCCTTTCCGTTGACCTAACATAGAGCTACTGGCTTAACATTGATGCTTTATGGAGAAAAATCTGCAAGGCAAGATCTGCACTATTATTATGATTTATTCACTACATTCTCAGTGCAATGGTTTCATTAGACCATTCATGCAGGAAAAACCACCTTGCAAGCTCAAAGAGGATGTAAGGAATTCTGTAATGTTAACATGCAGGGGCTCAGCGCAAGGGGCCGTTTCAGTAAAGAGAAGTGTGTTTAAAGTCGGTCCTGATTCCACATATCCAAACAGTTGTGCTAAAATGGGCAGCAGTTCTCGTATAATGAATTTCTGGGTTTGTTCGAGTGGCACTATGGCACTTGGTCACCAGACAATCAAGAACCAATTACATCATGTAATTGATGAGTGATGTTATTGATGTTCTACCAGCTAGTGAATAATGTTTTAAATTTTGGCTAGTGACTGAAATAACAACAAAACTGAAAATAAACTTTTAATTTAACCAAAAACTGTAACTAATAAATAAAGTTTCAGTAGTTAAATTAGGCTAATTGGTTAATTCTCGTTATTCTGTTCAGAGTGTCATATTCACTGGTGATAAACCAGTTGTAGTAAAACATTTTTTGCAATGCACCACATCTCGATATTTTAGCCGAACTAATTTTACTTGCTGCTCTAGGATAATTTTTGGTCACGGTCATGTTTACCCATTGTGGCTTATCCACATTGTGTGCACGAAATAGATTCTGACAGTCAAAATGCATTATTGCAGAAGTGATTACTAATGATGAATGATTACGGCCCTTCAAAACTATTTCAGACAAAACTGAAAAATCCTATTTTTATGTTTGCCAAAATTTTGGTACATCGCTAATATTGTATGGCTTCAGAAGACAGGAAATAGGGTATAGTGCACAAGTCTTGTTTGGAGCATGACAGCCTCGGTCACTGCAAACTGTTGTTAAATGAAGAAGAGCTTAATAAAGATTCTTAAACTCTCCTGTGTTTGTGTTTCACCCAAAAAATGTACAGCGTACAGGTTTAGAATGACATGAGGGTGAGTAAATGATGTCAAAAGTTTCATTTTTTGCATTTGTTCGACCCTGAGAGTTTGACTACATCAAGTGAATGAACAGGGACTACAGACCTGGCCCTTAAAATCTCCCTGCCAATAGCCTCTCAGGAGCAAAATAATGGCATCACTCAATGTGCAAGTTAATCTGAGCTGATAGCGTGAAGCCTGAGGGGTCAGGGGGTCACGAGTCATTTTTACGATGTAATTATTTATGTATGGTGCAATGTGTACATGGACAAGAGGAAAAAAACAGGAAATGCACTTTGGCTTACACACACACACATATATATATATATATATATATATATATAAAGATAAAGAATCTTTCAATACCAATTTGAAAAATTATACAGCAAAAATAGGAAGAGCCTGGTTTTGGTGTATAGTTTTCATATACTATTAATATCCAGATGAAAAGCTAACACCATTCACACATTGATAATAAAGTATTCGTATAATATTGCTGTGCTTTCTGTCTCTCACTTACATTTTTTTTCACCCATAAAAAAATTTATTCTAAGTGCTTATTTTTACATGAAAAAGAAGATAATGTGAATTAGATCATGTGAATTGGAAAAATAAGGTTCCAAAAGGGGGTTTTCATAGTGATACCATTTTGATTTCTTCAAATAACCTTTCACTGAATAAAAACTTTTTTTTTCTTGATGTGAAAACATCTAAAGAACCATTTCCATATAAGAACTTTTTGTGCAGTGAAAAGGTTCAGTGGATGTTAAAGGTTCTTCATGGAACCATAGATGCCAATAAATAACCTAAATAACCAACATTTAGAGTGTAAACTATCATCTTCATCTGATATTAGGCTTTGTGTTTTATCATTGCATCCTCAATTGTATTTTACATGGTGTCCTAACCAGATGCGACTTTTTCCAGCATCATTCTGGGAAGCCCTGTCCACCATGAAATCAGATTGGTCGAAAATCCTGTTCTGCATAACAGTACATTAAACATTAAAAATCTCTCTGATTTGGCTGGCTAATGTAATGTTGTAATGTTGCTTCACACTGGGAACTTTGTGCCTAGTTAGAACGCGGTGTTGCGCACAACTTGCTGTTGAAACATACCATCACTGTGGTCTGTGCAGGTGAAAAGAAATCCATTCTATTGAAACTGAGGTTTCAAACCGGGACTTTTGGCATTGGCTGTCATACTAAAAATTGTTCAAACCTCTGGAATTAACATTTTGAAACTGAGGGAGGTCGTTTTGGTGGCGCAAAGTTATTTCAGGCGTCAATCTCCCTTTTCGCTCCAGAGCCAAGCTCACATCTACACGTTGGTTGAGAGGAGGTTACAGCCAGAGTTCCTTGAGGTCCTTGAGAGCCTTGCTGGCCGGTGTTTAAGAGAGAGGAGGAGTTTTTCTGAAGAGAAGATGATGTATCCTCAAGCATGGCTTCCTCTCTGCTCTGTCCCTGCAGCTCCTAGCTGACTAGCCTCCACAGCGGCCGTGGTCAGTGGTTTATGGGACCAGCTGCGCTTCTTTCTTCTGCGAGGAGAGGAGGTGGTGGCTCCCATCCCAGTGCATTGATATATCTCCATGAATGCACATGGCAAAACCAAGACCTTTAAAAGAAACTATGCGCAGACCAGTAAACTACTTCCAAGGTGGATGTGGTAGGGCTGGCTTCCTTTCTAATTGTGGGTGTTGGTTGTCAAAGTCACTGGGGGAGAGGAGGAGGGGGCTGTGGACTAACCTGCCAAAAGCCAGTTTGAAAAAAAACAACAATCTGGTCCATGTAGGCGAACAATGCGATGAGATTGTGGACTGCAAATCCACAACGAAGAGATGCGCAACACTGGAGGTATTGCAGAAACAGCTTTGCCATCTCACACAGAGAGCAAAGCTCTTTCTCCCTATGCGCTGTCTGCCGCCAGACCCGTGCCGAGTTCAAACGGCCCAGAGGAGTGGCTCCTCTAACTGCAACTGGGGGCCATTATCTGCTCCTTTGTGTCTGCTTTATGGGAAGAGGGTCCGGATCACCACTCAGGGAGGAACTGGCAGACTATTATACTGGGCAGGGCTAGAGCCTGAGACACATAGTACACAGATTACACAAGGCACCTCAGCGGGTACAAAAGGGGGCCTAATTAGACCAGGCCTGGGTGAGGTCCAGAGAAATAGCGAGAGCGAGAGCGAGAGCTACCAGGCCTGGGAACGCACCCTGCTCCACAGTAGCTCCAGAATGGAGTGAGTAAGAGAGGGACGGATGGGGGAGAACGAAAAAGGAGGAGGAGAAATGGAAAAACCATGTAAGCAGTTTTGCGAGTGTGCCGCTACCTCAGGGATGGTATTGATTAACAGGATTTCAGAGCATTCTCACTGCCAAAGATGTCTTAAGGTGCTATGAGCTGCTGAGGGCCAAGTATGCCATTTTGTTTGCCCTGTTAATGTACAGTTCAGTGCCCTTTGTACCTCACAAAAGTTCTTTAGAATGTCCTTTCTCCCTCTTCTTTAATTGAGACTCTTGTGTCTCTCTAATTGAGACATGTTTAATTGTTCTGCTTCTCAGATCTTTCTACTGAGAAAAAGACCCTGGTAATTTCATGTGTTTCCTCTAGCATTTGAGAAAAGAAGTTAATGATGTTTCAAGTCTGCAATTTCATGTAAGATTTTAACATGAACATTTCTCATCAAACTCATCAATTGCCTCATTTGCATCTATTTCATTTCTACAAAGGAAAACACCTGAGCTTTGAATGTGCAACTTCTCAGCGATGATATATTCTTCTCTTATTCTACTCTTTTGACAAAGACCCAGTTTCCCAAATGAAAAAGATTGTTTTAATTGTGTAGTCATGCTAAAAATGGATTTTGCCAGTGTTTAGGAGTGCACTAGCATATGGATAGCTTCAAACCAAACACACATGGACTAAAAGCCACAAGAACTCTGATTTTGATGCCATGGGGTCTTTAGCAGCCAGATTTCCAGCATCATTCTACACTTAAATAATTCCAAAAGTCTCAAAAAAGTGCCTTTGAGTGTTCGTGCTTGCTCTTGAGTGTCCCGAGTTTGCATCTGACTACTATTTTAAGCATAGTTAGGAGGCTTTGTGATTATGACGTGCTTCTTGCCAAACCCTCAATGAATTCCACAGAGTTCAAGATGCTCTCCCTCCTTGAATCTGCTCCCCTGTTGCATACAAGGTAATTACTGCTAAACACTAAAAATGGACTTGTTTTTGTCACAAATCATCCAGAAATTATGACAAAAGTAGTCTTGCGTACTTGCAACAATGTCTGTTTTTTGTTGAAGCTTATTCCAGAATCATCCCCAAGAAAAGACCATCTGAACAAACCAACCACAATTTGTTTTGTTTTTATTATGTGTGCAATCTGGAATGCAAAATTTATATAACCTTTTCGTAAGTGTTTTTCTCCTGATCCTGAATTTTAGCATCTCTTCCCCAGGTGCAGGCGCTTGGCTTTAATCTTACAGATATATGCATTAGTCAGTTGCACTGATGACATACTTATAATTTTATACTTATAAAGTATTATTTAGAAGGTTCCCACAGTACCCACCCACGTTTGTCTTCCTATAAACTAAACAATGGCTTAGACTCACTTTATGACTCATCTTGTCCTGTGCCATCTATCACAGAAGTGCATTTTGCTTTACATCTATGTAAACCAGTAAAAAACATTTATTATCATAAGTTGCTCTTAATTTTTTAAGTCTTAATTGACGTCATTAAGGTCTCGTTTATGTTTCTTGTAAATATCAACTTTTTGATGTCAAACTGTTCTCTTTTTTCCTAAAATTAAAAAATAGACCCAGTTGAGATCATTGATGACATATATGTATCTTGTAAATAGCAATGTTGTTCTTTTCTTCTAAAATTAAAAAATAGACCCAATTTAGATCATTGCTGACATTTGCAGTTTGGTCTCAAACATTTGATTGCAGACTCTTTTATCTTGGCAGCCCTGACCACAGGGTGCTTGTTTTTTTGAGGAGAAAATCTGGTAAACATGACAGTTAAAGGGATAGTGCCTCACCTCATGTCACTCCAAACCTGTATGACTTACTTTCAAACTGTTTTGGTGACCATTGAGTATTTTATTAAAGAATAAAACATATTTTATGCTCAGCAAAAGAAAAAAAGTCATAGGTTTGGAACAACATGAGCGTGAATAAATGATGACAGAATGTCACTTTTCCCTTAACTTTTACTAGATCATAATACATGATGTGTTGAGAGAATTCCAGATGTGATATGATATTGCAACGATATCAAGACATCAGGTTTAATCTTGTAAAAATCGCCATTACACCACTCCCAGGTAATTCCCTCAGCTGTTATCAGAGTGTTTGATGATACAGCACTGGAATGTGTTCAGATGCTGTTTTATTGCATGCTGTCACATCCCGTGAATCACTCACTCCATGATAAAACATAAGCTTAACAGAACAGCCTCATGTATTTACTTCTCCCGCATTTACTTCCATTACAACTGTTCAACAGAATTGCACTGCACAAACTAGTAACCCAATTTTGTTGCTGCTTAAAATCCATGTTTAGCTCTGACGGACAGGGAGTGGAGGAGCAGTTAGCAGCAGCTGCCTGATTACCGTACTGCACAGTAGCCGCTGCTGCAGTTGATGACCTGATCCAGCCCGGCACATCTGGCGCTGGCACAAACACACTGTAGTAATAGCACATTTGAAAGCGGGAGAGAAGAAGATTACATGGAGCGCCTGGAAGACTTCCTGCCTGCTCTCTCTCATGAGCGAGACCTGCGGAAGTCTTCTCACCTTGGCTCAGGGCGCTCTAATTACAGAACTTCACCTGACAACAGTTAGACAGACATGCACGCACACGCTTTTGAGCTTGATGATTCGGGGATGTACAGAGCAGGAGATGAGACCACACTCGGGGTATTAGAGAAGACAATGCCGGAGATGTTCCCTCCCTTTCTGAAATGTAAGATTGGATTAACATGCCTTGGTGTGGCTGAGGTGCATCATTCACACCCCAGATAATGGAGCATGATAAAAATGCCATCTTCCTGTCATGTTGTTCTCTCTGAGTCTTGCTTATCTACGCTCTCTGACTTTCGAGAAAAAAGTTATGCAACAAGTGTTGTTTAGAAGTACATTGGGCAATATTATGACACTATTAGCTCAGTTGTAGATCAAAATGACCTTGCAGAGTTTCCTCCAAGAGGTGAAATGCGTGTGCTGAAAGCGAGGTGCTTTTGACAGCATCGCAGCAGCAATGTTCTTGTGTTGTTTCCTCCCTCCACTCTATAATTGCAGGGTTAACAGGGGCCTCACTGACGTACACACGGGATTTATTTTAGTGAGTTTTCACAGAGCTTAAAAGAATGCCATAGCACACCCTCCACACACACACACACAGAGAGTTTTGAGTCTAACATGCAATAAATACAAATGCACTCTCATTCCCTTCCATGCACTCAGCCTTGGGCAAATTTCTGATAACATAAATCATCTGGTACATCTTCAGAGCCTTCACCTCACTCAAAGCTCTCTTTAGGCAAAACACACAATAGACCTTGTTTAGTTTTGCGGTTTCAGTTTGGCTGTTCACCAACGTTAAAGACCTTTGATAATTTATAGTCATTGCATTTCATTGAGAATATTTCCTTTAAAGGACTTCCTTGTTAGCGCAAGCACTGATACAATGGACTGGCTTTGTAAACTACTCTGGTTTGTTTTTGATTTTTGTTTTTTAATTTTAAAGACTGACTCATTGTCTTCAGGTTCAATTTGAAAATGGAGCACATTAGTATGTTTTCCCTCTCTCTTAACACAGAGACGCTGTGCCTGACTCCACTACAATCTTCCCTTTCAGCAGCATTTAGCCATGACAGTGGGCTGTGTCCCTACTCCTGAAACCTGGCCAAGACCCCCCTTTTTCTGAAGAATGAGAAAGGCATTCCTTTTTCAGTTAACCCCTACCAAGGCTCCATTAAAATGGAATCAGACTTACATTACTTTGTCAGTCCTTTTGTTTTAAAGAAAGGTTTTTCATTTGGATAATCTCTAGTCCACCACAGACCAACTAGTTCACTCATTCACGTGTGCATGCAAATTTTTTTGCATACGATGTTATAAAGTATTAATAATAATATGAAGTAGTAATATGAAGTATTATTTATTTTTGACTAAAGGCCCATTCATTCAATAACAATATTGTTCCTCTGTGTCATTATCAATGTACTTGTGGTTTTGACCTCATATTCTCATATAATTAAAATGATTACTAAACTTTATAGTTACTCTTTACTTTGATGGGTGGTTACATTCATACATAGACCTTGTGAATGCTGGAGACCGGAAACGCAAGCTTATGCTAAAAAGTTTCAAAGTTCAAGTTTGATGAACCTGCAAATTCGTATTACGTGAAGACCTGTGACCAACAGAATAACAATATAAGTCTCTTTCCTTGCAGTCTCCGAATAAATTTTGCATCCTCAAAGTCTAGTGCAGGGGTGGCCAACATCGCTCCTGGAGAGGCACAGTCCTGCAGAGTGCAGACTTCAGCTCCAACCCTAATCAAACACACCTGAACAAGCTAATCAAGGTCTAAGGGTTACTAGAAAGCAACAGGCTGGTGAGTTTTTATCAGGGTTAGAGCAAAACTCTGCAGGACTGTGGCTTTGTATTGAAGTAAAAGTTGTTCCAAAAAATGCAGGCAACTTACTTATCATGCTTTTTGCCTTCTTTATACCTAATAGTATTCCCAGAATGCATTGTGACGGTTTTAGTGAAAACGAAAGAGGAGTGCTGAATTAGGAACTGCGTATAGCATACTATTCTTAATATTTTTAGCATATTGTCGTTATATGGCAGAAATAGTAAGAGTAGTATGTAGTTCAGAATTTTTCAGAATGTAGTTGCAACAAATGTTATTATAAAATAATATAATTTATTTAACAGAGAAAAGCATCCATAAAATTAGGTTAAAATAATTATAGGCATATAATTTCACCCCAAATTTGTGTGTGCTATCTATGTATATTTATACTTATTAAACTATTGCCTTGTTCATCTTAT